AAGTCGGACGCTTGTTTAATAATCGAATTCGGAATCCCATCCGTTCCTGAGCAGTGGGAGTATTTCAAACGGCTTATGTGTTTCTTAATGAGATCTGAGGAGACGTCAATTGTACTAAGTGTCCTATCTGAAAGTGATCGAACGAAAGGGACCGGATCGGACTCGGTAGCAAGGTGTTTTGCAAAGAAAGCTATTATTAGCTATCGTCTGTATGAAAATTTGTCAAAGGCCTTTTACGGCCGAAGTATATATAAAAAGAAACTTGTTTTATCACCTCGTGCAGATAGAATCTCTGCAAAGCCGCTCAGATGTGTGGATTCATATCGCATCATTTTTTTCCTTCCGGAAATGACTTTATTAAATGTTTGTTCTTCCTGTCCTCGAATACTGCTGTCCTAAATTTGGTTTAATGATCGCATGTGATCCTAATAAAACTGAAAATGTTGAGAGGGTTTTCACCCGGAAACAGTTCTCTCAAGTCGCACCCGGTACTTCTTATACGCAGAGATGTCAAACAGCGAACATTAAGTTTTTGTGGGTTAGAAGATTCGAAGCTGGCCTTTGATTCCTTTTTCGCATCAACTCTAGCTCCAGTCTTCCGCTCGTTGACAATCTCACTCCGTGAGATCGGTCTTATGTCACGCGCAACTCTTCCATGGTGATTTCGCCGCCCCTTTGCCCTACATGTAAGCGCTCCCTCTTTTTTGCTGCCAAATATGCCTTCGTTTGAAGTAATCTTCCGCCAGAAATTAGGTCATCGCCTAAGTTGTCAGTATTCAAATCGGAAGTACGCAAACATCTCACGCCGGAAAGTATAAAGGCAATCCCAACGGTCTCATTTTCAGCTTCTTGACTTCGAGAAGGGTCCTCCGGGGATTTAGATAGATAGATAATGTTTTATTAAAGACCCGTCCGGGTCCCATCAAAGCAAGTTAAAATAAATTTGCATGCGAGTTTTAGACGAGGTAGGCCGAATCTCTACAAAATGCAATTCCTAGTTTCTAAATTAGAAGTCCATTGAGAAACATGATGATTGAGGTGTGAAAAAACTCCTTAGAAAAAGTTAAAAATGATTAGATTAATTTTACAGGAGAAAAAAACCCCTCTTTAAAAAGAATAACAGAAAAAAGCGAGCAGGACTGGCCTGTAGGTGGCGGTATATAACGGATTGTTGTCGGTCATCGTCAGGGTATCAATAAATCTCAGCCTTGAGGGGTACGTATGCGGGTGAGACAGGACTGGCTTGCATGTGGCATTGTATACGGGATTCACAATTGAGATCGTCTGGGCCGGATTGATACGCCGCATGAGACTATTCGCGTCAAAGAGGCCAGACGAGAGGAACCCAGATGCGATCGGCCACATCACGATTCGAACTCAGCCGAGCAGTGGGGAAGGGAGGTACGACCAAATTACTAGTAGACGGTGAATACTGAGGGTTCACCGTGAGCGTCGACAGACTGCATGAGGTCGGAATGCGGGAGATGACATCAAAAAC